TTCCATCAGCCCCTGCGCTCGGCTCTGCAAAAACACTAAATAATATGTAGTTATATTTTTTTTTTCTGTTTGATGTTTTTATTTTGCGTGTATACACTATGGGGCGCGCATACGGTGGTACTACCGCGTGACCGCGTGGCGAAAGAAAAGTATAGGGGTTCCGAAAAGTGGCTGCTTCGGCCGTTGAGAGGGGGGTCACCGGCCGGCCGCGGCCGCAGCGACAGCTCCAATAATATGCAAACCACCCCGTACCTGCCGCCCACCACCCTCGCCCCTGCCGGACCCGCCCCTTTAATCGCTTCATTACGCCCCCGCGCCGGAGTGGCGGAGGGGGCGGCGGGGCGGGTATAGGTGCCACTTTCACACATTTAATCTCAGAAAAATAGAAGGAGATGGCGGAGATCTTGATTGCGGCGGCTGGCAACAAGGCATAAGCATGAGGGGGCGCACGCCAGGGTCACGTCAACGGCGCGCGGCTGCTGTGTCGAGGCGGGCCGAGGATTCGACCACCCTTTCGCCTAAGAAAGAGGGAAAAGCCCTCAGGATTGACAGTAGAATGGTTCAAACTACTGGGTCGATGTGAGAGTGCGTGTGACGCCGAAAAGCTCATAAAACTCAAAAAGCTGATACACCATTGAGTGCCGCACTTTTCTTCAAGAGACTTGTCACTCACGTGCGTGCGAGTGCACTTTTCCATGTACGTTGAGATGATGGTCACAGTTTTCTTTGTGTATGGCATTTGGCTCGTGTTTGAGCTTCTTGTTAACACACCTCTTGTACACGTAGAGTATAGTGGGTATCCGAACGGACCCAAAACATGAATAGCCCTACTACGCTCCCCTGCGAGCGTGCGTGTCGTGCGCGTGTCACGCGTGTGACGATCCAAACTACATTTTCACGATTCACAATGTGCAATTCCGAGTGGTGCCCAACTGAGGAGATCAGGTGTACACAGAGTAGGTATAATCCCTGGTAATCACCGGTAATCGCCAGTAATCCTTGGTAATCACCGGTAATCCATGGTAATCGCCGGTAATCCATGGTAATCACCAGGGTAATCGTTGGTAATCACCAGGTTATCCCCAGTGATCACTAAGTAATCCAGCAAGGAAATTCCTGGTAATCTTTGGTAATCACTAGTAATCTTTGGTAATCTTTGGTAATTACTGGTACTCCGTGGTAATCAATGGTAATCAATGGCAACCTTTGGTAATCTCTGGTAATCTTTCGTCAGTGGTAATCTTCGGAAACCCTTGGTAATCATTGGTAATCTTCGGAAACCCTTGGTAATCATTGGTAATCTTCGGTAATCTCTGGTAATCCCTGGTAATCATCACTTTTTGCTAATCAGGTGTACACGATTTTTTCGAGTTGGGCACCCCCTTGGTGCAATTCACTAACGACTGACTTCCCATTCGAATTTTTTATGTTTCTCAGGCTCTATAGAAAGTCCTTGACGAGCTCTTTCGATATCAGCCAACTAGTGCCCACGTCAAACGATCCTGCAAATCGGAGTAATACGATGCCCTTCGACACATCGGTAGTTGGGACCCAAATAAAGGTTTCTGCCCAAAGGAACAACAATTTTTGCCCTTAGGAAAAATTTTACAAGGGGTTAAAATAAACATTTTTTCGAGTTGGGCACACCTCGCGTTAACCCCTGACAGGTGGTGCCGCCAACGCGAGGCTGATTCAAATAGTGCAAGTGCCTCGCGTCTGCCTGTAGGACGATCGCGCAGTTCAGGCGTTTATTTCGACGTTTTCGAACTTGTAAGGGGACAAATAGTATCTGACAACTGAAAGTATCTGATATACCGTAGAAAGATATACAGCCAAAAATTATCTAAGATAAAGATAAGATACAGGTCACAAAAGTTATCTAAATACCCGTAAAAGATACTAAAGACGTATCTAGATGCAGTATCTAGATACTTTTATCTAGATACTGCTCAACACTGTTGCGTCGTCATCAAATAGCGACCTTTACAACGGATTCGTGTGGTGGTGGCCTTGTGTAGCGATTCGTGTCGTGCGATGCTAGATAGTCCAAAATGGAAAGAGGCCTTTTTTGTGGCTATAATATAAAGAGGAACTGAACTCATTTCGCATTACCAAATGTTTTATCTAGTAGACATTTTCAGAGTAGGATCCCGTTGGCCATATGTTTTCAGCACGGTGAAGTGATTATGCTGCGCGTTCAAAATATCGGTCTCTGTATGGATGGCCGTATATAATTCAACCGAAAGCCTAATCTAGGCCAAGTTGTTGGGATTTAGTGGCAGTCCGTATGAAAACAGTTGATTCCATTCTTGATAAGCAGCTTCCTGGTCAGGCCTTGGCGCACGCAGTGGGCCGCACGCTCGCCGGTGACGTGCTGTTGCACTAATAACGATGAGGGAGGGCCGCACCAGATTCACCTGCTGCACAGAAGTCGGCCTGGGGACGCCTCATGAGCCGTATCGCTGTTCTGATGGCAACGGTGACCGTAGCAGCACTACACGCTGCGCGGTCAGAGAAGCTGATACCGAGCTTTGCAGTGAGTCAGGGTTTTGTGCAACCAAGTGTACCCACGTTGACAGTTAATGAGACAACGTTTTGTGCGTAACAATGTTATTATCGCTCGGCATAAACTGGAAAAACGATGGCAGGACTCGCAGGCTATTGATGACTTTACAAAGGTATTGAATATTAGCAGCAGCCTGCCTATAAGGCATTAAGTCCTACCAGTCCTACCCTAGGTTTTCCAGTGCAATGTCCTGGAAACGGACGGCACACGGAAATATTGCACGAAGCATGCATTTTTTTTTATTGCAAAGGGACCGTTTGACGTGTGGATTGAGAGAATTGACCCGTGCGACGAGGATGATAAACGAGTGCAATTGAAGTGTTCGCACTACAACCCAAACAAAAAGTTTGAACCACAGGTGTGGAACGGATTTGTGAATTTGACACGAGCATTGGATGACACTTGGTGGGTAAGTTCTGTTGTTAAATTGTGTAGCTTTTAGCTCCCAGCGCCATTATTTACTTTGCACGGTTATGCAGATGGCTTGTGCAGAATTATAATCTTGGCTAATCACAAATTCTGTTCGTGAAGATCCCAGGTGGAACAGAATTGTCAGAAACCAGTCCATGATTCCCAATTGGCGTCACAATGAGGTCAATCTGGCTACCTAGAAGCAGTATATTTTGACAATGAACGTCATTTTGAACGTGACATCATTTATGTAGAACGTGTTCCACCTGTGATGTTTACACGCTGGTGTTCATCAGCAGAGCGTTGCTCTCTGACATTTTTATACTTTCATTTTGGCGCACAGATCAGGGCTCCTTTCAGCATTCGCAGCAACAACCAGTGGAAACAAAATGCAATTGTGCTGACCGCCCAGAGAAACGGCTGCAGTGGCGCAAGAAACGTCCTGCCACCGGATTTACGACGGTTCACTACGAAGCGCGGGACACCATGTAGCTTCAAGGAGGTGCATACAGCCTACAGTTGCAGTGTCTTGTTAAAATACGAAGGAATTTCTTTGTAGTTGCGAAGGATTTTCTTCACATTTCAAGGCGACACCTACGTACAAGCAGTTATCTTCTTGAGCAGTGCAGACAAGCCTTGGTCTGCGCAGACAAACAGCTATCTTCTTGAGCTGTGCAGACAAACAGCTAACTGCTTTTTCCACCTCACGACTTTGGGTATTCATATTTCTGTCCACAAATGACGTAGCTACTTTACTGCTTCGTCAACTCCTTCCTTTAGTCTGTCAAAACATAGAATTTCACTCCATGTTCCTAACTTGTCACTGACAGAAGGTATTAGACGGAAAATAGGTCAAACCTAACAAAAAACAGATAGCTGTTTGTCCGCCACCCTCATGCAGATAGCTGTTTGTCTGTCCGCGCAGCCCAGGAAGATAGCTGCTTGTCTGCACAGCTCAAGAAGGTAGGTGCGTACGAGGTGTCGAAGGGAATCGTTAGCAATTAGTTCATAATTACAATTCGCAAGGATACTACAGTGTGCGAACTAAATTTGCACCTTGCGTAATTATAATTTATTCTATCGTTACATATGTTAACATTTCTTGCAGGGCGTGTCATATTTCCGAAATACATCTGTAAAATTCGAGTTTCCCAAGTTCCCACAACTACCCTACGGGCACTATCGTGTGGAACTGGAAGCTGGGCAGCAAGATGAAAAGAAAGCGGAGTATTGCTTCAAAACTATCGGCCATGTTATCCCCAAAGTATGAGACAAAGGATCCTGGACTCATGTTATTAACAACAAGCGGGGCCAGGATTTTACAGAGCTTCGCTGGTCTGATTTCTACATACACGAAGACAATTTCTCGATTCAAAAATACGTAGGAGTACGTGCAGCAGCCCGTTGTGGCTGAGCGTTTGTCAGTGTGCTAAAATTCTCAGAGGTCACGTTTTAAAGAATACAGTAAAGTATACAT